GACTGAGTCTTTTTTATGGAACCAAAGGCACAGCTTAAAACAGCTGCAGAAATCACCTGACCCCCTTTCCAGATGGTTTGAGGAAGCAAAATGGGTGCCTTTCGTGTTTCATGGGACTTCTTCACTTTTTCCATCAATGCAACTTCAAAAGGAGGAAGTAGGATGGTCTGATTCCTTTTCTAATCCACCCATAGAAAACTATGGCTGGGCTGGGTTTTCTTTTGCAATCCATGTTGACTTCGCAGCTGTCCCAGGGCTATCTCACACACCAGCCCCCAGCTGAGGCCAGCTGGTAAGTCTGGCCTCGGGACACACATGCCTGCCAAAGTGTGATCCAAGAAGCCCACGAGAAGCAAACAGTACCAACTGCTGAGAGGGCCGCCCTTGGGGCAGAGGGACAAGCTGATCTGATCTTGGGTAATGAGACAGGCAACTTCTGACTGGGAGAATATCATGTGCCGCAGGGTATTTGCTCATAACCTCTCAAAATCTCTCACACCTTTTCCCTTATGTTGGACATTCCTCTAACAGAGAGCAAAATCTCAAGTTGAAATAGGGCTAAACGTACAGAAACTTCTGGGATAGGTACATGGCACATGAAATGCATTTGACCCTCTGACGATAACTATTTAACTATGTTCAGCACCATTTATAGTGTTCTTACCATGTGTTTGATGCTGTCCTCAGCTCTTCATGCATATAATCTCATTTATGCCTTATAGCAACTTCGGGTTGAGTAAATTTGCTTTTTCTCTTTATTTAAAGGTGAATAAATTAAGCTTAGAGAGGTGAATAACTTACCACAGTCATACAGCTCAAGAGTGTTAGAGCCACATGTTGAATGCAGAGTGTCTGACCTAGAATGTGCATGTCACCACCACACTCTACTGCTTCTCCACGTAGCCCGATGCACATAGAGCCCATAGTGGGGAGGGTTCCGAGGACACAAAATCACAGAGGGAGAACAATGGTGACGGGAAGGGTGGAGAAATTAAGGCATCTCCAACCTTCATTTCACTTTATAATTTCTCCTAGGGGGCAGCCCAGAACACGATGACCAGTGTTCTGGGCAAACTGTGGCGTCAACTCACTTCCTCTTGTCATCTCTGATGGAGCATGAAAGGACTCCTGCTGTGTTGCCTTATTGAAAGCAGATCTCACATCAGCCACCTAGTTCAGTCCCCAAATGGAGCAGCTTGACGCACATGCCATTTTCATCTTTAGTCTTCATCCAGATGAGCTTCCATGAGGCCCCAGCCGCTGGTTGTATCATGTTTGTTCTTGCCAGAGATCTACCGAGCATTCTCAAACTGTTGGATGTCATTTAGCCACAAAGGAGGAAAATATGATTTCCCAGAAAGGCTGTGTTTCAAAGGCTGTGTTTAAACACAAATGGAGAATTGAGACATTTGTCCTAATAAACTTGGCTGCCTCGTGATTTTCCTTGTTATGCAGACTGAAGCAGTAGCTGATTGGCTACTTGAATTGCCTGGAGTTTCTGCTTCACCTTGTGGGCACATGGGCCTGTCTTTATTGCTGATTGACAGCCCATGAGTGAGTATACAGAGGAGTGAAGAGCTTGGGATCTGGAGCCAACACCTTTCTGCTTTCCAATTGTCACCACTTCTTGTTTTGTGACGTTGGATGAAATAACTCTCTTGTGACTCAATTTCCTTTAAAAGGGGATGAAAATGGTACAGGTTGCTGTGAAGAGTTGTCCTTATAAAAGGCCCTAGTAATTATTGAATGAAGTTATCCTTTCTTATGTTCTATCACAGATCCCAGTCACTACTCAGAATCACAATACATATAACCCTCCACATGTTTGCATTTAATTCATGGCTAGGTGTCTTTGAAAGGAACCCTGAAGATACATGACATCCTAAATCATCATTTTACCAAGGCTTGAGTTTAACTCATGCCCATTATGAAGCCAGAAGTCATTTAACAAATGAGTGAGCCTGGGTTACTTCCCGGTGTCTGCATCTCAATTCGGCTTCGGTAATCTTATGGAACATACATTTTTTCTTAAAGGAATCTCACTATTTCCCCTGCCAATGAGCCAACTAGGGGCTGCAGCAGTAGAGTCAGCTATTATAGGAAACAGAACCACAGCTCAAACTACTTTAAGCAAGGATGGATATTTATTAGCTCATGTACCTAGAAAAGATACTAGATTGGCACACCTTTGGGTAGAGCTGGACCCAGGAGTTCATTGTTCTCCAGGTCTCCCTTTCCCTTTTGAGGCTCTGCCTCCCTCTCTGTGTTTATTTCATTCCACAAGAGATCTTTGAGGGAAGAAATCTAGGAGGCCTTTTAGGTTGAGATCTAAAAGGAAGAGCAGCTGTTTTCTTCCCCATCTGCCCGTGCATCATGGCAGCGCAAGGCATCGTGACTGACTGAGTGTGAGTCGCGTGCTGACCCTGCAGAAACTACCATATCAGTGAGGAGTATGTTTTCTGTGAGCTACAAAGATGCAAAATAACAGAGGCTTAAACTGCAAGTTCATTACTTTAGCACATAAGTGTGTGGATAAGCAGTCCAAGACTGATATGGTAGACTTGGCTCCACAGAGTTCTTAGGGACCCAGTCATTTATTTTTGTTCTGCTTTTCCCAGGGTCACCTCTCAGCCCCACAAGGCAGTTCCCACTCTGACCATCATGTCTCCTTATCAGCCATTAGAGCAGAAGAAGGAACTAACGGTGTATGCACCAAGGCTTCTTAAAGAAAGCTTTCAGGAGCTGTCATTCAACATTTCTGCTCCCATTCTATTGGCCAGAACTTGGTCACACAGCCCCACCTACCTGCCAGGGAAGGAGAGAGTGTAAACCATATTCTGGGTAGCCATTTGACCTGCTGGGATTAGGAGATTCTACTGTGAAGAGTGGGTAGAGAGAGAATGGATATTGGTGACCATTTTTTGCCTAGGGCTGGTAATTTGAATGTTTTACCTGCCTCTCACTCTCTCCTATCTTCCTCATAATCCCACTTTCCTACTCTCTTTTATTCTCTTGACCAGATAGAAATCTTTAAATGTTACTAACGATTTCCATTAAAGCTGTTGAGTCACACATGGGTCAAAGTCTAGGCCCTGAGGGAAGCTGTGACCCAGATGAGGCCATGTCCAATCTATTCCTGCATTCCAGGACCAGAGCTTGGCAAATGTTAAAGATGAGAGAGATGAGTCTTGTCTTCACTATCTTGTCCCATCTCACTTTTAATACCATCTCTTACACATTCACTTGTACACACACACACACACACACACACACACACACACACTTGTTGGGCTCCCCAACCCAGGCCAAATATTTCCATCATTTTTTTCCCATGTCAGTACTCATTAGAGGGTACCACCATCCCACTCTACTATTTCTCATCCCCCGCCTACTAGGGTTTTGGATAATTTACTAAACAGTACTCATAACTATCTATCTATATAAAACCCTAATATGCAAATAGACCAAATGGTGGAACAAGCAAACAACTGGTCGCTATGACGTGAGCTGACCACCAGGGGGTGCGTGCGCAACAAGGCGGGCATCGGCAGCAGGCGGCAGAGCACGGAACATGGCAGGCATCGGCAGCAGCAGGATGGTGGAGCAGGTGAGCGAGGGCGACAGACCAAGGTGGGATGCCAGTCGCTGTCATTGGGGCGAGCCTCTAGTAGTTACTGAAAATTCTTTGCTCCTGCATGCCATGGTCCCACCTTGCACTCGCACCTGCTGCCAGCACCAGAGCCGCTGCTCGCACAGATTAGTGAACTGAGACCAAGAGTTTAAATGATTTCATTAAAACTGCACAGCCAGTTAGATGGTCAATTCTAGCCTGCAGCCGGGGTGCCTGACTTCCAGACCCATTTCCATCCACTAACGCAGGTTCTGAGTGTGGCGCCCACACCAGCATCTTCACATTACCTGGGAGCTTGTTAGAAATGTAAATTCTTAGACCCCATCCCAGACCCACTGAGTCAGAACCTCTGGGGCGGGGCCCTCCATTGGTGTTTTAATCAACTTTGGGGGGGAGGGGAAGGACTGATGCACCCCAGGCTGGAGAGTCAGTGCCCAAGGGGTGCCGTTAGCACCTGCTACAAACTCTTCTCACAGCTGTGCATTACAGGGACTCTTCTGAACCCCTCATGTTTGTTTCCAGAATGTCCATAACTAAGGAAGCCTGGTACCCTAAAGCCTGAACCACTCCAGCTCCTGAAGCATTTTCTTTTGAGTAAACTTCTGAGCCAGCTCTCTCTCACACCAAGTGACCTGATCTATCTGGGAACTCTAGACTATTATCTTCTTAGTAACCGTGGAAAGGAAGTATTCTAAAAAGACTTCTTTAAAATTTTCTTCTACTTGGTACTTTCAGTTTGTTAACTTAATAATCTTATACATGAATAGCATATAAAATATACTTTAAAATTTATAAGGATCTGAGAAAGGGCTTTGAGCTAACTCTTCCCCATCCACTCCACACACACAAACAAAAACACACAATGCCGAACACAAAGAAGGAACTGACCAAATATTTATTGAATTTGTTAAAACCTGTTCTTAGATTCAGGGGAAGAAAGCAAGTGCATTGGGACCCTGCTGCTGGGAGGACTCTTTATTTGAAATCCTTTAGCACAGGAGACCTTAAAAGAGTAATGACACTATTGTGTCTGGTGAAAAGTATGTATTTGAACATTTAATTCTGATGCAAATGATGTACGAATTTTATTGCAGATATTTCATCTACAGAAGGAATGAGAGTTCATATAGCTTAGTTATTCATTCAATTATAGCTTCATTCATCCACTTTCATTGAAGGCCCACAATGAGCTAGGCCAGTGGTTCTCAACCTTCTGGCCCTTTAAATACAGTTCCTCATGTTGTGACCCCAACCATAAAATTATTTTCGTTGTTACTTCATAACTGTAATTTTGCTATTGTTATGAATTGTAATGTAAATCTCTGATATGCAGGATGGTCTTAGGCAGCCCCTGTGAAAGGGTCGTTCGACCGCCAAAGGAGTTGCGACCCACAGGTTGAGAACCACTGGGCTAGGCCATCTTGCTTCCAGGCATTGGCGCTGGCGTGATATGAGGATCTGCCTGCATGGAGCTTACAGTTTGTGGGAAAGACAATCAGTTAAACAAGTGATTTACAAAGAAGTGCAGTGAGTGCTGTCACAGACACAGTAGATACATTCAGAGCACATAGCAGGGTAACAGAATCAGAGGGTTGGGGACAGAAAATCCATACTGGTCACACAGGAGGCTAGAGGCCTTGGTCCTCAGAGGCCTGTTCAAAACAAGGCTGACAAAACCCACCCCAAACTGTGTTCAGCACAGGAGCAGAGGTGTGAGTAGAGGAAGAGCTTCTTCGATCTGGCTGATGTCAGCAGGCGGGTCACTGCCTCGACTTTTTGGAACGCATGGAGATGATGGTGAAGGTCAAGAAGAGCACGCCGGCGGTGCCTCCGATGACCACGCCCAGGATGCTGCCGTGCACCTGCATGGCCTGGCAGCGCTCTCCCGTGTAGAAGAAGGCATGATCGGAGACACACCTGGGAACAGGACACAGGGGTTCATGTGGGAGCCACCGGAGCCCCGCACTGCCCAGCGCCAAGCGCCAGCAAACCAGAAATGGCAGTGAGTGCTTACTGAGCGGTTCCACAGGCCTGGCCCCACTCGAAGGGCTTTGTGTGAGCCCGTGCGCTGAATCCTGTAACAGTCCTTCGTTATAATCAGGCCACTCTCACCAACCTCATTTATGGAAAGGTTAAATAACTTGCTCAAGGTCATGAGGTCAGTGTTTCACACATGAAGTCTCATCCCAGAGGTCGGTCTCCAGACTCAGGACTCGGCCTGCACGTGCAAAGTGTAAGAGGTAGGTTTGGACTTAAAGAATATGTTGCCTGACTCTGCCTCAGACAATAAGCTACAGGGTGAATTCTCCAGGTAGAATCTCAGTGCATTAATGTTGGACCCTGTAAACTTCTAGAAAATAGCCATCAAAGTGTTACTGTAAGGTGAGTTGTCTGACACACAGTAGGCACGGAATGGCTATGCCTTCCTTGACATTCTTTTTTTAAAAAAAATGTTATTTGTTATAAAGATCAACTAATCTCAGAACCACGGTGTTAAGGGCAGTGTTTCATCTCTTCCATGAGAACAATCCCAGCCTTTGTGTCAAATAACATTCCCAACACAAAGTCTCCCCCAGAGCAGAATGGCAGGATAGACGTTAAGGCCTTCCTTCATCCAGGAATCGGTCTCTTAAAAATCAGTGAATAACTGAAAGTTTTCTCTGGCCCATCCTCCTCCAAATCCAGCTGATTCCCTTAGAGGAGCTTACTCCACAAACACTCCACGCTGCAGGCTTGAGGGAGGGGAATAATTTGGCTGATGAGAGGCTGACACACAAGTGGAAACCCTTGACTTCCTAACCCTGAGAAGGATGAAGCCCACTGGGCACATATTGAAATCTGGTATCCAAGGACCTATCAGCAAAGAGGTGCTGTGCCGCCCCGTGACTGTGGAACCCTCAGGAAACAAAGTGGGCATTCTCCAATGAAAGGAACCCCAGCACTTTGGAAAAGTGATTGACTTCCAGGGCTGGGGCAGGGCAAATAAAAGATGGGCCTGGGACTTTCTGTGATGCCAGAAAGTAACATCAAGTTCCTAAAAGAATGAGCTTGTGTGGAAAGGGCATGGGAGCCATTCTGGAAGAGCTCCCCAAGGCCAAAGGTGGAACAATGTGAGCAACAAGGTAAGTACTGGCATATTGAAATGTAGCTCAGAGAATAAAATTAATAGTTTTGAAATACATGAATGAGGAGGAGGGGGAAGTTATTCTTTACAGAAGAATTTCACTTCATTAATGCAGAGAGAAAATAGAAAATCACCATTAAAATATTAGAATGGCGATTATTCCAGCGGGATCCACCAATGGATGCTGAAATCGGTGGGTGAGAATTTGAGGAGAAGCAGGAGGTCAGCAAGGTGTCAGAGTGTCTCTCCCAAGATATCCGTTCACTACAGAGTGAGGAATGGTAAGAAGCCTGGTGGACACCCGTTTGGCCAGGTGAGCAAGGTTGGCATCACCCGTCGCAACACATGTTAACACCAGGTACCCCTCACATGACGCACGGAGAAGAGTGTATCTTATTTTTGCTTTTCTTGCCCAAAATGTACAACCTCAATATAATCATGAGAAAGCATCAGATAAACCCAAATTGAGGAACAGTGCAAAATAACTGAGCAGTACTCCCCAAAAGTATCAAGATGATGAAAGGCAAAGAAAGACTGAGGAGTTGTGCCAGGTTAAAGGAGGCGAAGGAGACATGAAAGCTACATGTAACGTGGAATCCTGAATTGGATCCTGGAAGAGAAAGAGGACATTGGTGGGAAAACTGGAAAATCAGAGTAAGACCTTTCGTTTAGTTAATCCTATTGGTCATAGTACATAGTTTTATTCATGTTCATTTATTTCCTGGCTATGCTAATTGTTCCATGGTTATATAAGATAAGATGTTAACATTAGGGTATGGGGAACTATGGCATATTTTTGCAATGTATTTGTAAGTCTAAAATTATTTCAAAATAAAAGCCAAAAATAGAAGAAGCAATTGGCAATCAAAAAGAACTAAGAAGAAATGTAAATATTTTGAGTCAACCATCTGCTACTATTCTGTCAAATGAAACTGATACTTCTGGCATCAATAAATCCTTTCCTGAAATAATTTAATGCAAATAACAAACATTACAAAAAGAACTATTAAATAGAGCAAACCGTGCAAACAGACAGACCTGGAGGCGAGACTAGCTGCAGTATTTACCATCTGGGTATTTTAGACAAATCACTTAACTTCTCTAAGCTTTAACTACTTTACGCACTATCTGGAGATGACAGGGCCGGTGTGTCACGGGGTGACTTTAGATGATGCATGTATACTGCTCAGAAGAACATATGACACATAACAAGCAGTCTGACAATATCAGGTACCCTTTCCACTATTAGTAAAAAACTACTATAATAGTACAGCAGAACTAATAGGCAATAAAAATAATAATGAGAATTAATAATGAATAAGAACATTGGCAGTCAGGGGAGTTGGGAGCTTGGTCCTGAGTCCCACTGTGGCAGCGAACGCCCAGGGATTCAGGCACAGCTCCGAGTCAAGGTCAGCCACGCCCAGTTCACCACCTGATGGAGTCCTTGCCCTAACCCATGAACAGCACCTTTTACCAGGTAAAGCACATGGCTCCCCTCTGCAGACCCACCACTTGCCTCCCCAGCCACAAAGCCTACCTGCAGCTCGCCATGCCCTTCACGTTCACACAGAGGCCTTCGTTTTGGCAAGGGTTCGGGTCACACGGGTCTCTGAAGTACGGGGGCCAGTTGTGGTCCTCCATGGGGCCCGTGCTCTCCGCTGACCGCTTCTGCCGCCCGGGCTGCCCGTTGCCCTGGCTGTCGGGGATGGTCTCTAACGAGGCCTGCGCTGAGCCTTCTTCTGAGGCCTGCTGCTCCTGGCCTTGGAGAACAAGGCCTTGGGGGGTCAGCCTTGTGTTTCTAGGGGTGACTTCAGTCTGGTTCAGGTAGGTAATGTCTAAGGAGGAAGATGGATGATTAATATCTGACCACACTCGACGTCACTCCTGAACGAAGTTCCCTGGGTGGCCTCTATCCCTTGTGGACATCACCTTTAGTGACATGGAAAGTGGCTTTGAACCCAGCTGACTCTCCCTAATGCTACTTATTTTTATTTTCAAAGTAGTCCAATCATATTTTTATTTCACTTGAAGAGGAAATATAAAGTTAGCATGGATAGGCTGACCTAAACTAAACTGAAGTCAGCGAGAACTGTCATATTTGATAAATTCTCACAAAAGATGAACACTAAAATGTTAGTTTCTCCCAAGAACAGGTAAACTGCTTCTCTGCCCTTCCCCCCTCCCAATTCTGAGTTTTGCAATAGAGTAACATGTAGTTCTCTCAGAACACCTCTCTTTTATTTTTACCTAGTCCTTAAAAAAGAAAAAAAAAAAAATCCCACCCTCCCTGAGATGCCTAACAATCAATTAACACTCAGAGGATAGGGTTTTTCATCCAGGAAGATCAGCGCAAGTACCTTCAAAATCCACAAACATGATAAGGTCGTCGTTTTTAAGGAAACTCCTCCTCTTCAGCATGTTGTGGGAGATGAAAGTGCTCCAGCCCCAGTCAATGCTTCTGTAACAGTTACAGTCCTTATCATAAGTTCCCACGATGGTTGGTCTGTCCCAGATGACTGAGCCGTTTATTGCTGCAAAGTTATGGGTAACACAAATTACCTCTTTATGCTTCACTTTCCAAAATGTCTTTAATGAGTAATGTGGAGCTTTGCTAATCAGAAAAAAATACGTCGAAGCAAATCAGTTCATTTACTCTTTCGAGGAGAATTAAAACTCAGAATTGGAAGGGGGAAGGGCAGAGAAGCACAGCTCTGAACGGTCAATTGTCCACTATTGGGTGACTTCCTCAAACAACTGGGAGGAGCAGCTGTAGCCTCTTCCTCATAAAGCTTAACACTCTTTATGTGGAAAAGAAAATCTAAAAAAAATACAAACAGTTTGCTCATTTAGGTATTGGTGCAAGTTTGTTTCATGAGTGTACTGATGATCAGGGCATTGGTTCTGAGCATCTGATAAAGGATTAGCAGTATCTGTCTTCTCATTGAGACTGAGCTCCACGGAGCAGGAACTGCCTGATTTGCTTCTTATTCCAAGGACTTAGCCTAGAGTTTGGCACATTGCAAGCCGTTACTTGATGAGTGGATTCAGAAAGGAGGACAAAATGACGTGGACAATTTTAACTTAATACTCCAACATGACTATGTTATTGATATGCCCCAGGAGGAAATGTGAGAGGAATGCTAATCTCTCTTACACAGATGAGAATCACATCTGTTGTCCCTTCCAGGTTGAGGGGCAGCTCCTAGAACCACTTACCTGAAGCTGTCTGGGACTTAGAGGTGGTGAACACCATGCTTGAGGACATTCTTTTCCTGGCGTCGGGTTCCTGGTCCAGTATTGTCATGATCGCCTGTCTGTTTTCCACCGGCCACTCCAGGATAGCATCATTCTCACCGCTGCACAGGTGGAAAGTAAGTCCTAAGTAGCCAGAGCTCAAGGAGTTTACTCTACCATGAGGGTATAAGGTCAGCCCAAAACCATATCCCTCCGAATTGTAGAATCGAGGGCTCAGGATCTTGGACCCTTCAACCGTGTCCTGAAGGACTTGGGAGAAATTATGTACTGTCCAAACTCCTGTGGGGCACGGAGTTTCTGTCAGGGTGATGTCATCCAGGTAAATTCCCCCATTCGAGTTCTGGGGGTCACCTTTTATGCCCTGGAAAAGGTAGCGAAATTTCTTCTCCTCTCTGAGTGTCACATGGGCAATTTTCCAAGTTTGGCTACCTGAGGACAGAGAATAAGATTGGTGACAACTGTGGCCAGCATTTGTTGAGCACCAACTATGACCCTGGTACTATGTCAATTACTTTATGTGAATTATCTTATTGAAACCTCACAACAACCCTATGAGATAGATACTGTTATAAACTGGTTACCGGTAAAGATCTTTTCCAAAGTTACATTTCTAGTAAGGGAAAGTAGCTATACAAAGACACACTATGCTTTATTTAAAAATTCATATTCAAATCTTAATCACGAATTATTTTTCATTACCATTCAATTTCACAGGTTCTGGGTTTCCCCCTCAGTTTGATGGTATAAATACACCCCCACCTCCTAATAATTAGCACTGAATACCCAAGTATTAGACTGAGCCTTATACAACAATCATTTTGTAATCCAAAATTCTCACAATGGAAATTTCATATGGTCCCACCTGTGAATTGATGCCAGAGACATATATGAAAGGCTCTAGAGTAGATGATAACTTACAGGGTTAGCTAGAGCTCCCCTATGCAAAACCGACTCACTCCCTAACACCCAGTTTTTCCCCGCTTTCTTATAGTACTTCAAATTCCACCAAGTAGGGATGCTATCCTCTTTTAAAAAAACAAATAATCCAAAAAGAATTACCACTATCCAGATACCCACATTCTAGTGAAAATTGGGCTTACTTCCTTTTTCTGAGCTTGAACTGGAATTGGTAATTTTGAATAAAGAGCTGAGATGAGAAGTGAGAAGAAAATGGGGTCCTGGGCCCAGCAGCATAGGAAGCCGGAAAAGAGTTTGAGGGTCTATGGAGAGAAAACTGCCAGGGTGGAGCAATTTGAAATTCCCCAAAGGTCTGTCCCTGCTTTGATATTGTGCCCAGGGTGTACCCTAGCACTGGGATTAAAGAAGAGAAGTCAAATGCTACATCACAAGTGGCAATCAGGTTGGCTAAAATGAATTCACACAGGTGAGTGTTACAGAAGTTTAACCTGAAGGACAATTGGCCAGAGGGCTTTGGAAGTGTCTCTTTTCCTCTTTCTGTGTGTTGTAACCAGAAACCTTCTTGTAGAGCAGGGGTGGGCAAACTTTTTGAATCGAAGGCCACAATGGGTTCTTAAACTGGACAGAAGAAGGAGCTGTGGCCGAGTTTCCGACGTTGCCATGTTAACACTGCTGCTGGTGAAGGAGCGGAGGGGAGAGCAAGAGAACCCTCCGCTCTTTCAGCTCCGCGGGCTGATAGAACAGCCCAACGGGCCGTGGGCAAACTATGGCCTGCGTGAGGGCCGGATGCGGCCCGTTCGGCTGTTCTATCCTCCGGCCCGCGGAGCCGAAAGAGCGGAGGGTTCTCTTGCTCTCCCCTCCACTCCTTCACCAGCAGCAGTGTTAACATGGCAACGTCGGGAAACATGGCCGCAGCTCCTTCTTCTGTCCAGTTTAAGAACCCATTGTGGCCCTCGAGTCAAAAAGTTTGCCCACCCCTGTTATAGAGTCTACTTTCCCCAAAATTAAGAGCTCTTTTATTAACCCTTGTTCTCACTCATTCTCACTAAGGACAACTTCAAGGGACAGGTCTAACCATGTTCAGTTTTCTGGAGCAGAGCTGGTTATATAACCCATGTGGCCGGGTTATCTGTATACAATAGGAGAGAGTGGAAGAAGGCATGCATCCACACCTATAACTTACAAACTAATGTAACTGACATCTCCCGGGGGTAGGACTACGGTCAAGTGGAGCACACACAGCTGTGAAATGTAAAGGGCACCAGGAAGTCTGGAATAGGGGCAGAGACAGAAGATTGGAACTATCTATCCAGGAGGATTGGACCATGGGAGTTCTGAAAAGAAAAAAAAAAAAGGATAAGGATCCTTTTCTTGCTAATGGCTGTCTTTTTATTTTCTTCATATGGGTTGTTACCATGAGATTGAAATGTAGGACATGGTACCAAGAGAAAGTCCTGAGGGCACATCACCAAATGGGCAGTGGCTCATCTATGCCATCTTTAGGAATGTGTCACCGAGACACTTCCATAGAGCTGCCGTGAATCAGGCAATAGACAGTTCTAAGATTGTTTGCAGCAGACAACTCTCATCCTTGTTAGCTCAGAATTGTCATCTACAAGGGGATCTCGGTATTTGTAAAAACATATTTTGCATGTAAGTTTGCATAAAACATTACATAGATAGAGAGGGAGAGAGAGAGAGAGAGAGAGAGAGAGAGAGAGAGAGAGAGAGAGAGAGAAGCAGAGATAGACATATTTTGTATGTAAGCAGTTTGGTTTAAAAACACATTTTGCACAAGTTAAAAACTGTTCAAAACGGTTGTAACTACCTTAAGTTATATACTACAGAAACACTAAATGATATTCAACCAACTTTTTAGAAAAGTTTTATTGACAAAACAGTATCAGAGTGGATTGTTTTAAAAGTCCATTCAGATGACACTTCCAGGGAACTTAGACACACTTTGAATTCAGTAGAATTCAATGCATAGCAGCATAAGGAACTAAATTAAACGTGAAAAGGTTGATCGGTTGATTTCATGCTTACAAGGATAACACTTTCAGCTTCCTATGGAAGTGAGGAATAATGGATCCCATCAATGCTAATGAGACTCTAATTCACTTTCTCATTAAATATTTACAATCCTTGGTAACAGAGAATTCTCAACTGTTAGCCCTTCATTTGATGAATGGTAACATAGAGAATTCTCAGCTGTCATCCCTCCATTTGATGAAGATGCTCTGTAGATTTCAGAAAGAAGAGTGAACCCCTTAGAACTGCTATCTGTAGAATTCCCGGGTTCCAGAATGGCCTGGGTAACGGTCATTTGGGCACCTGTTCTTATGAGTGGCCCCTAAGGAAGCTCCCACCCTTCAAAAGCAGCAGATTCCTCTAGAAATACTCAAAGAATTCTCCCTTTATTTGGGCTCACTCTAATTGAGAAATTCTTGTTTTGTTTTTTTTTTAATTTATTTTATTGATTTTTTTACAGAGAGGAAGGAAGAGGGACAGAGAGCTAGAAACATCGATCAGCTGCCTCCTGCACACCCCCCACTGGGGATGTGCCCACAACCAAGGTACATGCCCTTGACCGGAATCGAACCCGGGACCCTCCAGTCTGCAGGCCGACGCTCTATCCACTGAGCCAAACCGGTCACGGCGAGAAATTCTTTGTTGAATGAAAAAATAGGAAGGCAAGTCTCTCTTTCTCTGTTATGAATGAACCACCACCACAATAAAATGATGTAAATACTTAGCTTTATAACCCTGGGTATTGATTTACAGCCAGACTGCCCTCATATCCAACTGACTACCTTAGCATTCTAATGTTTTCATGCTGGCCCTCTTATAGAAATACACAGAGTATTGCTTAGTAATATGTAAGTGATTATATGAAATTAATAGATACAAATGGCTTAGTTCTCAACTTCACAAGTAGATTCCAGTTACTTCAGCATATTAAAAAACAGTATCATTCAGTTTTCTGAAACTGATGCAAAAACACCAATGGTCAAGTATTTCACCCACTCTCTCTCTCTCTCCAGCAGCCTCAATTTCTGCTTCCTTTTTACATTCCAATCTCCATCCCTGAATCATGAAATTCTCTGCCCAGGCTTTCTCCAATGTTCTAGTGAAAATTGGATTTATATACTCTGATTGGCCTCTTTCAAAGTGTATTTAAGCTTCACCTAACCCCTCGCAGCTGCTTATAATTTCTGAGTGGTTAAAATATGTATTGTGTGGTGCAACTATACCAGACACTGTACTAAACATTTAGGGGGGGGGGAGGTGGTATGGCAGAAAAGGGAAGAAGAAGAGAAAGAGAAAGAGAAAGAAAAGGAGGAAGAGGAATGAAGAGAGGGGAGGAGGGGAGGGAGGGTGAAAATGAAGGGGGGGCGGAAAGGGAAAGGAAAAAAAGAATCAGGATCCCAGATTTTAAGCCAAATCAGTCCTTGCATGAACGCCTCCAGGTACCTTGAAAGGTCTGCATCTTGACCAGCTTGCGAACCTTGCCTGTGCCATCATCTCTCCTGACCCAGATGGCAAGTCTGTCTGAAGGACTTCCGGTCATCTTATAGAAAAACTGCAGGCACTGCTGCTTCCTCTTTGGGTAAAGAATCCGAGACTCCAGCAAGGCTGCCTCTTCTGCCAACCCCGAGCTGGTGTTGAAGAACATGAAGTAGCCAGCACCTGTGGAGAGAGCACCCAACATCCCATCTCTGGCTGCCCGTACCCCAGGGCGCCCTCTACCCCACCAAGTGAAATAGTGAGCAACAGCCATTATGCAGGCAAAACAAGCTAGAAGTCTTCTGGAGAAAATAAGAAGAATGTTGTTTGTCAGTATATATTCTATTTGTCTCCATGGACAGATTCACAGGCTAACCCGCAGCTCTGCGCTGCTTCTATTTATTGACTTTGTTCCCAAGTTGGTGAAACATAGACTTCTGACTTAAGAAAATAGGGGCTGTAAGCAAAGTTTGATAGAATTTAATGTCTGTGAGGGGAATTCTATTTCCCACACTGACTTCATTGTTTAGAGATTCATTCCAAGGCAAAGAGCTGGCCTCCTAATTGTATAAGAAACAGTGGGATCCAAAGGTGTAGTGATTAGAATTTAAATATTCACATTGTTAAGGGTTCAATTTCACCTGTGTCTAGCCTAATGACTGGGTGTGTTTGCAGTGGTAAAGAATCATCCTTACTATGTCATAAAAGGGGCATTCAAAGCCTAGTGTGAACTATTCAGGATGTCTCCTGTATATAAAGAAACCTTTGAAAGAACACTGAAAAAGAGGGGAAAGAGTGTCTACACTTATGCCAAAACTGGGGTTGGCCCAAGTCAGATATTCCAAAACTCTCTGCCCCCAAATAAGCAGGCAGCTAAATGAATATTACTTTAAAAACTAGCACACTTTTCAAAGGCAAGCTCAATGAACAATTCTTGCATATAAAGAAGTCATTTAAACTGTACTCCAGAATTCAACCTCTTACCAAATGCTCCACTCAAAACATCCCCCAAAATAAAAATCAAGAGAGTATCTAGAACAGGTCTAGGCACTGCTTCATCCTGCCTCCTACACGGGGCGTGTACCTTTCAGATGGGCAGTGAGCATGGATGTTTAAATAAGATTTCCACATGGCTTAAAAATTTCATGATGGCTTTAATATTACACCAGGAAAAAAATATATATTTTCTTCTCAATACTTGAACTTAGCCTGAGGCCTCTGAATTATGAATTACTGAAGGTTCCTTGCTTAGGAAATCTGCCCATCAGAAGTGTGAGGTGAAAGTCCAATAACTGGGATTCAGGAGGCCTGAATTCTTGCCCTGGCTCTGCCACTAACAGGCATTCATTCACATGTCTGGGTTTTAAATGGGATATGGCTTCTATTCCTCAAGTTATTTGAGTCTATGCATCTACCTGAACAATGCCAGTGCTCACTGGCAGAGGGAACATGGTCCCATGAGGTGCTTCCTGTGGAAGAAGCAGAATAGCTGGTCAAGTTAAGCTGATAAAGTTTTTCTAAATACTTCTTCTGGAGTGTGATCCTTTCCTTTCCTATTAAGGTGCTAGAACATTCTCTCAGCACGTTCTTCTCACATGAAGATCATCTTTTTGTTTATCTGGAAATTGTATATTACCCCAGCAGCTAGCCAACAGAAGAGATTGGATTAGAATCCATGAAGGAAATGTAATGAGAATTTTAGGCTCAGATAACCCTTTGGATACTTGAGATTATATGTTTAATAATCTGATGTGGGCAGAGACCTTCGCCCTTTGCCAAGGCCAGAAGGAAACCTGGCAATGGCTTACAACCTCTGACATTCTCCCTGGTGGCCTGGAGTCTGGATGACAACCTGGGTTCCTTTTGTGAAGGAAATTTAACCAACTCACAGACAGGCATGGACTAAGCGACTTTATAATAGTCCAGTCTGTATAAAGTGATTATGACCTATAACCCCACCTGCTTCCAAATAGGGTTGAGATGATTTCAATGACCAGCATTTAATAAAAGGATGCTAGAATAGGAAAATACATATAAATGGAACCCTGGAAAGAAAGGGAATGTGGAAAAAACCAGGAGGGGAAGCTGCTGGTCTACAGCTGGGGGTTGTGTATGCATAGTCTTCTCCCAACCTCACTGGGAAGTATCAACATGTTGATGGTCCAGAGGGCTCACAAAAATAAAGACTTAAAAAACGAGCTCCTGTGGTCACAATGATTTCACACTCAGGTCTGTCTAACTTTATGGCTTTTCCACACACAAACCATATATAGAAACTATCTGAAGCTGTGCTGTCCAATATAGCAGCTACCAAATCTATGTGGCTATTTAGCATTTGAACTTTGGCCAGTCAAAACTGAGATATGGTGTAAGGGTAAAATGCACACAGATTTCAAATATCGAGTATAGAAAAGTGTGAAGTCAGTCAGCAATCATTTTTATATTGAATCCACGTGGAAATGTTAATATTTTAGACATTAAGTAAGTGTATTATTAAAGAGACTTTCCCTTGTTTCTTTTTTATGTGACTATGAGAAAATTTTACATTATATATGTAGCTCACATTACAGTCCTATTGGTCGGCACTGCTCTAGGGACATTGCCCTTATGTACAAAGTCATGTTTTATCAACCACATCAGTTTTGTCATCACTTAAATGCACCTTCCTTTTGCATGCCCAGAACCTCGGTGCTTTTTATTAAGTTAATAATAAAGAGACATGTTCTTTTTCCATCTTTAGAATTCCAGGTTTGATAACTAATATTCCAACTGAGGCAAAACATGCTGGCTGCCATTACCAATTGAACCTGATGAACCACTTCAGGTGGTCACTTTCTGCCTTCACCCACCTGTGCATTGTCCTACCAAGGTGTGATCCACTTGTCCAGGCTGAGTGCTGTCCTCATGGTCCCAGTCAGCGTCATCTCTGGTACCCTGAATCATCCCACAGATGTTTGCTTTTTCAAAAGCACAGTGGTCCAAAAGGGTGTGAGTTGTGGCTGCAAATGACATTTTTGTCACCTGGTTAAAAATTAAAGGCACCTCATTCCAAATACCTAATGTCTTAGGTTATTAAGACCTCATTGTTCAGAGATAGCGGGATCATGAGCCTTTCATTTTCTTGACTTTTCTCAGATAAAAATCCTACTGTCTCCCATCAGAACTTAGAACTTGCCAATATACATGCAGTCCTACCCACAACCCAGAATCACAGAGTTAAATAATAAAAAAGGCCTCTCAAAAAACAAACCTGACTCCTTGAGATCAAGATGGAGGTACCTACAATACTGGACTTTGTACTTGGTAGATCCTCTCTATCTACATGTGGAAAAGAATGAAAGAATATGTCTCCAAAGACTAGTGGGGTCATTTTAGAAAATATCCCAAATCCAAGCATCGATTACTCTAGGAACAACTACCCTGGGGAAAGAATCTTACAGGATACAAAATACTTTCAAGCCTACTACCTGTCTTGAGCTTTACATAACGATACACCCTTCAGAAAGAAGCTAAAAAAGTTGGACAATCACAGCTTCCTAAATTGCCCCAATACTTTCACTTTATAAAACACAACCACATAATTGATTTTCACAACCATCTTGTGATATAGGTGTTATAATTTTTCTACTCTAGAGATAAAGAAATGTAGTTTGTTCATTTTATACTATATAATAAAAGACTAATATGCAAATTGACTGGCCAAACAACCAGTCGCTATGACACGCATTGACCACCAGGGGGCAGACTCAATGCAGGAGCTGCCCTCAGCCCACAATCCCCAGGTTAGCCAAGGCAGGCACCAGTGGGGGCCTCCCAATTGGCTCTCCGGTCACCCCACAGATCATTCCTGATTGCTGGCCAGGCCTAGGGACCCTACCTGTGCATGAATTTCATGCACCAGTCCTCTAGTTTAGCTAGAACAGTAAATAAGAATAGAAGAAAATATACAGGAAACCTGCAGGGTGGGGAATCTCTGTTGGGGCTCATTGACCTCAGCCCCAAAGGTACTCACTGCAATTGTACATTCGGTTCAGTCTCTCCAAATCGATGGCACTGAAATCCAGGCGCTGCCCAATGATGGAGTTAAACTCAGGGATCTTGGTCGTGATGGTAGGGACACTTACATTCTTGTTAAATGAGAAAGGCGCATAGTGCATCAGAGACTCATAATCATAAGGTGTGTTGAGGTCTGTGATGAAGCTGTCATCATAGGTGTTAAAGTTGTGCTGGTGACCTGTCAGTGAGAGAATCCACAGGTCCTGTTTGGTCATATCATTTTCCCATCCTACCCACTTTGACTAGATACTCAACCAAAGACCAAGAAAGAAAAGGGAAATTGTGTGTGTGTGTGTGAGTGTGTGTGTGTGTCTGTAAAATACTTTTATTATTAACTATTATTAGCTGATAACTATATCCTATATAATAAAAATGTAATATGCTAAGTGTCTGACACATCAGTTGACCACTCTACCAGTCGCTATGATGCACACTGACCAACAGGGGGCAGATGCTTCAACCAGTAGGTTAGCCTGCTGCTGAGGTCTGGCCCATTGGGTCTGGGTGAGAGAGCTAGACATGCCCTGGAGCCCTCCCGTGGTCTCTCCTCAGCCAACCAGCCCCCATTGGCCCCAATTGGGACTGGGTGAGATGCCCCAATGGCCCCAATCACCAGCCAGGCTGAGGGACCCCACCCGTGCATGAATTCATGCACCAGACCTCTAGTACTATATAATAATACTAGAGGCCTGGTGCACAAAAATTTGTGCACTCAGGAGGGTCCCTCAGCCCAGCGGGTGCCCTCTCGCAGTCTGGCACCCCTTGGGGAATGACTACCTACTGGCTTAGGCCCGCTTCCCAGGGAATTGGGCCTAAACTGGCAGTCAGACATCCCTCTGGTGGCCCGGGAGCCCCCGGGGGATGTCCACTTGCCAACAGGGAACAGGCCTAGCTACAGTTGGACATCCTTAGTGCTTCTGAGAAGGTGGGAGAGGCTCCCACCACCACCGCTGTACTGGCAGCCATCAGCCTGGCTTGTGGCTGAGCAGAGCTCCCCCATAGGAGCACACTGACCACCAGGGGGCAGCTCCTGCAGTGAGAATCTGCCCCCTGGTGGTCACTGTGAGTCATAGTGACCAGTGATTCCCAGTCGCTCTACTGTTAGGGTCAATTTGCATATCACCCTTTTATTATATAGGATAGGGGCTTGGTACATGGGTGGGGGTCGGCTGGTTTGCCCTGAAGGGTGTCCTGGATCAGTGTGGGGGTCCCACTGGAGTCCCTGGCCAGCCTGGGTGAGGGGCTGATGGCTGTTTTTAGGCTGGCCACAGCCCCCAGCCACCCAAGCTCCCAGTGGGGGCTGGCTAGAAGCAGGTATCTGGGATTTATTTAGCTTCTGTAATTGAAACTTTGTTGCCTTTTGTAGAGGCCACAGCCGGCCAGAGCAGGTGGGAAGCTTGGCCTCCTCCATCGCTGGGGCAACCAAGCCTTCTGCTTGCTCCAGCTCCGTGGCTGCCAGCTGCCATCTTGGTTGGGTTAATTTGCATATAGTTGCTCTGATTGGCCGGTGGGCGTGGCTTGGGCATAGCAAAGGTACAGTCAATTAGCATCTTTGTCTTTTATTAGTGTAGATGTTAAAGTATATTAATTACTATTAAATATATAATTAAAATGCACACATGATTATAAATTGTTAAATATATGTATATATTTAAATCAAAGGTTCAGATTTTCAACTGAAGCTAACCAAAGGCTTCTGATTAAGTTTCAATTAACCCCTGCTGAAAGTTATTCAACATACACTGTTCCCTTGTGTGGAATCATTTATGATCAGGTCAGCACAGTCCATGGGATAGGTCAACACATCATGCCCTCTTTTTAAAAATATATATATATGTATTGATTTTAGAGAGGAAAGGAGAGGGAGAGAGAGATGGAAACATCAATGATGAGAGATAATCATTGATTGTCTGCCTCCTGCACACCCTACACTGGGGATCAAGCCCACAACCCAGGCATGTACCCTGACCAGGAATTGAACCTTGACCTTCTGGTTCATAGGTTGACGCTCAACCACTGACCCATGCCAGCTGGTCATGCTCTCTCTTTTTTTTTAAGATTTTAAAATTTATTTTTAGAAAGAAAGAGGAAGAGAGAGGGAGAGAGAAAAACATTGATGCCAGAGCTGAACATTGATCGGCTGCCTCCTGCCAATCCCACCAGGGATCAAGCCAGCAACCCCAACATGTGCCTTGACTAGGAATCCAACAGGCTACCTTTCAGTGCATGGGATGATTTCCTACCAACTGAGCTACACTGGCCAGGAAGTGCCCTCTTTATATTTTGTGTTCCCACTGCAGAATCTGAAGCACCTGCCCCACAAATCTGTCCTGGGTATCCCAGGATTGGTTACAGCAAGTGATAAAGATAATAATTGCCGGAAGCCATTCCATCCTTGCTGCTTGACACAGTCACTGCAGGGAAAAAACATCTGCACAGCATATGTTCCAAGGGACCTGGCGTATATGGCATACTGTTCTTAATATGATTGCTCCCCTTCTTAGCGCTAAGTGTTCTAACCAAGGCCACCTCCCTGAGAAAGGTTGTTTCCCCAGGTGGGAATGTTTCCCTGGAGTTAGGGATTAATGGGACTAGGGAAGGGAATAAATCAGTAAAACTCCCTAGTGTTACAGAAATACCATGTACTACTTATGAGGAACTTAGACTAAGAATGTTAGCAATAAATTTAGGACTTGCTAGGCCCACATCCCCAGGGGTCTACCCACCAGAGAAAGTACCAAAACCTATCCCTAAAAACCCGCCGATGCAGGGTAGTCCCAAGGAAGACTACCAGTAAGGCTAAAAGGACAAATATCACACAGTTAAAGAAATACTGCTGCAAGCAAGCAGGCAGGGTCCTTATCTAAAAATCTTATGCAAGCCATGCGAGCAGAAAGATTTAAACTAAGTGCCAGGCAGGTAGTTAATCACCATAACTATGAACAATCACGCTAAGGCTGCATAACCTTTACTTAAGCCATAGAATAGGAAAATATCCTTCAGTTATTTCCTTATAGCTTAACAGTAGAGCAGTAGAATAGTGACCTTGGAAAAGAAATAACAAACTAGCCCTTATAATGGAACATAGAGACTAACCTTTAGAATAGAATGTAGAAACATAGACAATAGATAAGATTAAAATCAAACAGAGGTAGGTAGAGATAAGATTTTTAGCAAAGGTCAGATAAGAAACTATAAACATAAAACAAGGAACTGTAAAAGGTCAAAGGAGGACCCAAAACATACCATGATGTAACTATAGAGGCATGCTTACAGAATCAAATAGAATAAATACAGCTGTAACTGGACAATAAAAAAAAAGAACCTGACTATGCTGATCATCTGAACGCTGCCTCCGTGTCCTTCATTCTTCGCCGATGCCGTCCACACCTTTGGAAACCCCTGGACCGCTGGGGCTGGACCCCAGGCAAATAATAGCACATTCCACCCATCCACCTTGGGATCATACACACCTGGAATAATTTCATCCCACCAGATTTCCACATAATCATCCCGGTCAGTCCTTGACTGCTCATGGTAAAATCCCAAAGCATGAAGGATCTCATGTTGGATGATGGCCTTATGGTCACACCGCTGTCCAATGGAAAGGTTCTGTCCTACGTGTTGGTCACCAACCTCAGACCAGCACCTTTAAAGAGAAGAGGAGAATTTTCTCCAAGATATTGCTTATATGGCTGTAATTCATAGGATTTCAGAACACACATTAGAAGGAAGTTAGGTTTGATTTTTAGAAGAAATTATCAATAGTGTTCTCATACTATTGGTGAGAACAATGGTAAGAGATGCTGATGGTTCAATGATAAAAGACTGGTTAAATAAGAAACATTTCCTGGAGGGATATTTTGCATGCTTTAAAAACAATGGTCCATTATAAACCAATTAATCCTAACAATGCATCAGGCAGAAAGAAGTACAAATGGCAGTCTTCCTCACCTCCACAAACCAGTAAGGTATTCCAAAGAATAATATTATAGCTTTTATACCAAAATATTGTCTCTAAGTGATGGCTATGGTTGACTTTAATTTTCTCCTTTATATTCTAATGAATTTCCAAATATCCTATCATGAGCAAGTGTAAATTTATGATCATGAAAAGCCTCATTACTGACAAAATAACTAAAGGCTTTGGTACTATCCTGAAGCTCCAAAGTTGCCATGGGACAAGATGAAGAAGTCAACAGCAGAGAACTTCTAAAATCTGTGCTCTTGGCAAGGCCTGAAGTACACTTTAAAACTTTTCCCTTCACATAGAAAGAAACTATCCAGATAAGTATTGGTTACTTCCATTTCCATGACCCACAATGCCTCAAGCAATAAACTCAATGTCCAGAAATAAATTTGCTCTCCTATCCCTACTGCGGTTCTACTGTCCATACCCCCAATCTCAGCGAATGAGGTTACCACCCACCAGGCATCCAAATCAAAACCTTGATCATCCTTGATTCCTCTCTCTTCACATCAGCTAATCACTAGGCTCTGATAAGTCCACCTCTTTACCTATTTCTGAAATCCATTCTCTCTTCTTTATTTCAAACTGCCTCTTTTTAGTGTAGGTCCCTTTCATTTCTTCCCCGGAGGATTGGGGCATTCTTTAATTGATGTCCTGTCACCAGTCTTGCCCCACTTCAATTTTTTACCCACTGTTGCTGGAATAATCTTTCTTAAATGGAAAACTGAACACATTTTGATGTAAGACTTGATTCCCTTACCCATAATATGACCAGGCTCCTTACACATAATATGACCAGCTTATGTTCCTGGCTCATCATTCATCACTCACAGCTTCAGACATTCTGAACTTACTGAGTTCTCCAGGTAAGCCAGATTTCTAGTCACGCTTGCTTTCCTCTTTCTCTCTACCCTTCATTTTCCTTCTTCCTCTCTCCCTTCTCTCTCCCTCTTACTCTCTTCCCATGCCTCATTTGTCCTCCCCTCTCCTCTGCCTCTATGTCCTTCCTTCTTCATCTCTCTAACACTCAGCCACTCAGGCAATCCTGAACCCTTTCACTATGTTAGAAGTTCTGCTTATGTGCCCCGATAGCCCATGGCACTCACCACAGCATATTAGAACCATTTACCTGTTGTGTCTCCACCACCCCCACCTGCAACTGCAAACTTTGTGAGGCCTGAGACTGCCTCATACTTCTTTGTACCTTCAGACCAGCATTCTTCCTGGTACATAATAGGGGGTCATATCTATTTTTTAAAGTAAAAGCATGAGCTAAGAAAACAACCACTCAAGTAAGTAAGGTACTTAACTTGTATCTAAGTAGTCATCAGAATTTTACTTTTTTAACTGATGACTTTACAGACTTTTTTTCTTAGGAGGCAAAATCTTGTGCTAATTTCCTTCTTCATCTCTGTTATCCATCCATGATTATTAACAAAAACCCCACCATCAGAATAAGACAACCAAATCCAGGCGGCACCTAAAGGCAATGATGGGAACTGCAGCATGTGCTAATATTACCTCCTTGCTGGGCTTGAAGACACAAACAGAGTCACAGCACATGGCAGCTTTACTTCGCAGGTTGGTTGACATAAACGCTACTGAAGGAAATGGGCTTTTTTTCCCTCAATATACCTTTTATTTCTTCTTATAAATAAATATTAAGAGCAAATTTATATCTAGAAGTTTACAAAGAGGTCCAGCCAACAGAGTACCATAATTTAAAATAGTACCATAACAAGGGAATAATTTACACTTTAATAAACTTGACTTTAAAAAAGTAATGTCATTTAAATTATGACCTAAGATGCAATTGAGATAAACTCCCTCAAACAGCTCATCCTCTACATAATATGTTAAAAATGCTGTTTAATTTAAAAAATCACAGTTTTTAAAGATTTGAATTTACTTTTAGTTTCTTACCAATTTCTTCTTTTAGCCTTTGAGAGAGAGATGTCACTTTTTATAAACCAGAAGATGCATGATTTTCACACTCTGTAATATTTTCATACTGACCCTTCAAACTGCTGAAAGATGATATATGAGCTCTCTCCTTCATAGGGCTTGAAGTCCACACAAGACCTGAGGCGGAACATTTCAAAGGCATAGAGAATGGCTCCTTTAGCATTCAGCTCTGCAGAAATCCGTAAAAAATATCAGTAAGCATTATTGAGATCTTAGATGATGTACACAACATAGTTTAGAGAAAATCATGCCACCCCATGAAATCCACAGAGGTCCCTCATAGATTGTTGGGGTAGTAAATAGATTCCTTGAAAACTAAAACTGAAAAATTAGTTCGGGACATAAATATCAGGCACATACTTTGAACACATAATAATATAAATATAACTCCAAAATAAGAATACACATATGTATGTGTATGTGGCTAAACCAAATAACTTCCCCACTTTCCTTCCCCCATTCAAGCAGAGATTCTGGGTTCATGCCTCAAGAGAGTTCCATGGCAGAGCAGAAAACAGAAGCGACTGGAAGCCATGTGTGTCCTCTGCCTGGATGAACCAAGTTCCTTGGAAAGAAACAAAGAATGGTGTTCCTTACCCCAGTCTAAAAAGACGTCCCTCTCACTGGAGGAAGAAAGCAGAGTGTAGAGAGGTTTGTGGGTTCAGAAAGCATAAGTACATATTGTACTTCCCTGCAAAACCCCTGAGGAAATGGCAAATTGAGACAGGCAGCCCTGCAGGCAGCCTTAGAAATGATTGCTGTAGCCCGTTTGGAACCAAAGCAGCAGAAGTCTACTGAACCTGACCAGGCAAGAACAATAGATGCCTGCCAGTAATGTGTGTGGCTCAATGGCCAAAGATCAAATGTTTTTCCTTTTACCTAACATGCTCACAGCTGGTATTGCATGGGACAAGGATCAGGAGGGGAAAACAGATGCTCCACAATAATGGAGGCTGTTTTACTTTGTGTGTGTGGTTTTTCTCTCCCATCGACTCACTGAAAGTAGGTCTCTAAGTTAAAAATAAAGCTAAATTATATACAATTAAGTTATATTTCTTGCATATTTGGCTTTGTGCATTCTCTCAAAAAAGCTTATCATTCTTGGTAGTTTACCAAGTACTTTTACTATATTATCCGGCTCTTATTTCATTTAATAAGCTAACAAGTTGGAGATTCCACAATTCAGATGTCATAGGATCATATCAAAGTTAGTAAAAAAAAAAAAAAATAGCCATTGGAATAATAAGTAAATTAATTGTGGAAACAACACAGATAACAAGAGCATACATCAAACTTCCTGGATGATTTTCATGAATTTTACCAATTCTTTCTTAGTGACATCTATAATATGAAGCGATGTACGCAACGAAATGTGGCCTTCACTAAAGTGTAAGAAAAAGGAGTTTGGTTTTACTCAAGTCATGCCGTCCATAGATTATGTTGCTCTTGTCCTCAAGCCATAGAGTGGGAGTGCTGAATGTGGTTCATTTCAAAATCCCATCACTTCTGACCTCCCACACCTGAACAAGTTGTAAAAAGGGGATTAACCACGTCTGTAATAATTTTGTAAAAACCATCCCAACATCACTGAAAAGAAAGAAAGTGCAATTGAAGGCCACGTGAAGCCACCTTCTCCACCGTGAAGCCAGCTCTGAGTTGTCTCCTCTAAAAGCCACACTTGGTGGCTTGTGTGTTGTCTTTATGCAGGTGGTCTGCCCACGTAGGGCACTGATAGCCCCCGAGAGGAAGGAGCTCATCCTTTGCCTCAATGATTTCCTAGTTCTCAGTTCTGCACTTTGCCACACATAGTAAGTTTTACATAGTTCTGTCTTGAGTAACCACATTAGTTTAAAAAACCACTAGCCTGCCTTCTCCCTGTATCAAATAACAGAAGAAGAGTTAACTTCAGACACTGATGACTCCACATATTAGAGGATAGCATGGCAAGGCTAACTATTTTTAGTTCAAGAATCCTTTGAGAGAGTTTTTGACCTGGTAATGGGGAAGAAGCTTAAATCTTACAGATAACAATGATAAACTTTGGGAAATTTTTAAGAAAATAAAGTCTTTTAAAGCACCAGAAAATGACTAAAACAGGTAGAGACAGTAGGAGAGGTGGAAATACCACTAGTTAAGATTCAAGTTTATATAGTGTGTGTGTTGGGGAAGAGGGGGGGTGTTGTTTTGTTTTTTGTTTTTTGGGTTTTTTGGTTTGGGGGTTTTTTGGGTTTTTTTTTTGTTTTTTTTTGCATGATGACACACTGCAAATTCTTTCAGTGCAAGAAAGAGAGAACTCAACCATAAATTTGAAGTTGTGTCTTCCTGATGTATCTATCACAGGAAGGGTTCAGGATTGCCTGAGTGGCTGAAAATCAAGAGAGGAAATCCTGGGGGGAAAAGAGTCATGACTGATTGGAAGGAAAGGGGGTTGGTGGTTCCAAAATTTGTCCATAAACCCTCTCCAGTCTTTGACCCATGAACTTTGCATGAATGGGAGAAGTCTCCAAGGAGCTTAGTGAAAAGTAGCAGATAGAAAGCTGATTAAACAGGTATCTCAGTGGAGAATTTGAAGTTTGGATCATGCCCATTAGAGGGGCTGGGGAAAGTCCTGGACATCCCACTGAAACTCCAGAGAGGCCACGGTGTCTCCAGAGTAAAGACAAAGGGATTTGTTTTGAACTAAGGACAAAAATCAAAACAAAACTTCCACAAATCCAAGATGATCAGTCAGCAATTTAGCTGTTCTAACAAAAGTTAACACTATCCAGAGGCCAATAACAGAATACAGAATCTCTGAAATGTAGTATTTACAATGTCTAATATATAATTAGCACCAATAGTCACGACCTATTTAACACTGATAGAATAATGTGCCCCCAAACTGTAGAATACAAGTTCTTTCAAGTGCATACACCAAGATAGGCCATCAGCTAGAACACAAAACAAGTCCCAATTTCAAGAGATTGTAATCTTAAAGAATCTATTCTCTGACCTCAGCAAAAACTTGAAGAGCGTCCAATATTTGGAAATTTTGAAACATCTAGCTGACCCATGGATTTAAAAAAAAAAAATCACAATAGAAATTAGAAAACATCTAAAATAAACTTTAATAGCCGAGGCCGGTTTGGCTCAGTGGATGGAGCGTCGGCCTGCGGACTGGAGGGTCCCGGGTTCGATTCCGGTCAAGGGCGTGTGCCTGGGTTGTGGGCATATCCCCGGTGGGAGATGTGCAGGAGGCAGCTGATAGATGTTTCTCTCTCATCGATGTTTCTGACTCTGTCTCTCTCCCTTCCTCTCTGTGGAGAGTCAATGAAATATAATAATAATAATAATAATAATAAAAAAATAAACTTTAATAAAGATATAACATATCAAAAATTGTGGAAAGCAGTAAAACCAGTGCTTCAAATAATATTTATAGCTTTAGATGCCATATTATAGCATTGCATTATATTTTTAAAATGAAGATTTAAAATCAGTGATATAAATTCCACCTTAAATATAAAAAGAAGTGCAAATTATACCTGATGTAAGTAGGACAAAGGAAATAATAAAGATAAGAGCAGAAAGCAACAAAACAGAAAGCAGAGGAGCAAGAGAAAATGAACAAGTCAAAATTTGTTCTTAGGAAATATTAATAAAATCAATACAGTGCATTAAAAAAGGCAAATCACAGACTAACAAAAAATATTCATTATATATATTTGACAAAGGACTTTATCTATAGTATATAAAATTCTACAAATAATGAAAAGACAAATAATACAATAAAAAACATGAAAGAGTTGGACAGACAGTTCATGAAAGAAGATACACAAATGGCCAATAAGCACATGAAATTGTGCTAAATACTGTTAATCAGTAGGAAGATGCAAATTAAAATCACAGTGAGATACCATTTACAACCATTAAAATGGCTACAATTAAAAATATTAAGGACACCAATGTTAGTGAGAATGTGTAACAAATGGGGCACTTACACATTGTTAGTGACCATGAAAAATGGCATTTTCTTATAAACCTAAACATACATTTATCATATGGTCAAGCAACTCTATTCCTAGACGTTTACCTGAGGTAAATTAAAACACAAATTCATATAAGAATGATCACAGCAACTTTCTTCACAATAGCCCTAAACTTGAAAAAATAATGCCTATACACAGAAAAATGGATAAATAGTTGCAATATATTCATACAAAGAAATATTACTGAGTAATAAAAAAAGAATTAACTACTGATCTACATTAATATGGAAAAACTTTAAAAACATGCTGAACAAAAGAAGCAAATACAATAGATGACCAACTATGTGATTCCATTTTCTGTAGATCAGTTGTAAGTCAGGTAAAGTAATCTATAGGAAAAATATTAGAATGGTAGTTTCCTCTTGGGGGAGTGGGGATCGGATTGGCTGGCAATGAGCACACAGAACTTTCTGGAGTGATGGAAGTGTGAGTTACATAAGCTTATGTATTTTTCAAAAGCCATTGACGTGTACACTGATTTGTGTATTTCACTCTATGTCAGTTTAATGAAGGACCGTGTACAAATATTGAACTCTGAGTAGCATGTTCACTTTTCCCAACGGTAAAGGTGATTCGCATGTGGTGCTGCTTGAGAGCTACCTCTGTTCCCTTACGGCTGCTGCCGTATTTCAGGCCTCTTGTCTTCAGTCTTGCTCTCCACGAAACTGTCACCTACCTTGCAGCTAAAGAGACCTGGCTGCTCAAGGTGTGGCCAACAGACCAAGAGCATCAGCTCACCCAGGGGAGTGTTAGGCATGCAGAATCGGAGCCCCACCTGTCCCTGCTCTTCATTTTACCCAGCTCCTCAGGAAACCCTCACTCTGAAGTCTGAGAAACACTAACACCTCACAGAGGCCGCGTGAAGGGCAAATATCAGGTGAACGCAGCAGTGCCTGGCACGTAACTGAGATCCAATAAGTAGGTCTATGTTTTGATGGGAGGAAGGTAGCTCAGGTGTGATAAGAAAATTGTCATGGGAGGAAAAAAGCCTTTACTAGTAAAGTTGTAGTTTCTTTTTTTTCCCTTTCTTCTTTTTCTTCCTTTCTCTCTCTCTCTTTCTTTCTTTTCCTTCTAAAGCTGCTGTTTCTTAAATCACATTCCAATAAATACAAATGCTCCATGAATTTGCAAGTGTGCTGGCAAACCCTGGGGAAAAACACCTCAGCTGACTTTTTCATAAAGTAACTGAGAACAACAGCCTTTGTTTGTATCTAGCTCTTCTCCAGGAAAGGGGTGGAGGCCGCCCTGATGATAGTGGTGGAAAACTCAGAAACATAGTAACATCTCCTGAGAGTGGAGCCATCCTGGCAGCCCATCAGGGCTGAGCAAGCTTGTCCTGACTTCCCCTCTCTCTGACCTCCCTCCATCTACCCCATGGGCCTCACGGCATTGCATCACCCTGGTGCTCAGATATCAGTCAGCTGCCTGAGGTCAGCCAGTGTCCACACGTGGCTTCTAATACTTGCTTATTTCCACCAAGTATTATTTTCAACAGTGAATAAAATATAACTTAGTCCTTTATTTTAAGAGAGGAAAAAGAATACCATGTACTAATACCGAGGAATGAGGACTTCAGTTGTGGAATACAGACTTTTCTGCTTTAAAAATGGGGCATGTTTGTCTTGCAACAAAAAGGGACGATCAATATGCTGAAAATAGTATTCTTATTCCATATTTAGATTCACCTAAGCAAACTATTATTTAAAGTGCAAGTTTTTATTGCTGTGATAGCAAATTATATCTCATTGTGTTGTCTTTCCTGGTGGTGCTTCTGGTATTACTAACATGTTAATGTTTCCTGCCTTTTAAAAACCATTTTGATGCTCTGTATCTTGGGCTCACATTACATCGATGCATTATCATGCCTCTCATCCCAGGAGATAAGAATTGGCAGGGCTTAGAAAGCCTCTTACACAGGACCGGTTACCCCCCATCTGATGTGGCTGAACAGGAGGTGAGGGGTGGAAGAAGAGGCAAGCCCAAAGCTCCTAATAAAGAACAGTTAGTGTTACCCAGATTGTCCGCCAGAATGTAAGGAATGGGGAACTTCCACCTGGCGTTGGGGTCTCTCAGACCATTTCTGGAGTTCTGTGAAAAAACAAGGTACAGGTCACCGGGAAGGCCCATCCCCTGGTCCCCTCCTCCACCAAACCCTCACACCGCAAATTTTCTGTCACGCAAGTCAACAATTTAGTAGCATTTGTTTTCTGATTATAAACGTGATAGTTCATTACAGACAATCTGGAAAAGTCAGAGACATTATTAAGAACAAAAAAAGGTTCTCCCCAAACTGAAATAGACGCTTTAAACGTCTTCTCTCTCATTTTTCACTTACTAGGCTAATTGATTGAATAAAGCAAATTTAATAATTACAGACTCTTTTGTGATGTTTGCTATTTTTTTATCTGTTTTTGTCACCACTGACCACAGTGTAAGTCCTTGTGGGTATAGATTACAGATTAGATTCTTTCATGTCCCCCTCGGTGCCCGTCCCAGGGCGCACAGAGCAGAGGCTCACACACATCACAGCCAGTCCTGAGGGACATTGCTGTGTCATGGGCAGGTACTCACCCTCAGGAGGATGTCCCCTTGAAAGAGGTCCAACCCTGCAGCTAGAGGTGGATTTAAAAAAAAAAGAAATATTTGAATGAACTTTACTAAAAGGCATCTCTCATCATAAAATTCATTTTTTCCATTATACACCTGTAATTATTCACCTGTATGTGATGAAAGTATTTTTGAAACAATGCAAAAAATCCCTCTAATGGAGCAGATGTATATAGCCAATAAGTATCGTATATTCTCAGTCCTCTGTTTTCATTTTGAAACAAGAACCTTTGTCCAAGAATTTTAAAATAACAGATGCGTTGGAAGATATCTTTTTGATGATTGACTTCACATCTCTCACACTTCAGTGGATGAAATGGATTCCTGAGACAGGAAAGGATGTACTAGGTGCTCAGCACTGACTGAGCTTTAACTCTCCTGACTTCCCACCCATGGCCCCTTCCCTTAGTATACTCTCCTTCTTCCCGACCCTCGGTAAGTGGGTTGATTTTTTCTTTCCCATGAGAAGACAATGGTACCCTCCAACACCAAGCAACTAAGGCTGTCACTGCACCATGCCTTTTCTCATTTCCTTACATTTTCCTAACCTCCATAACCTAGCCTATGAATATGATAGCAACAATGCCAACAACAGGTAGCGTTGACACCACTGCTCCACCAGCAGTAGGACCCACATTTTCAATTGCCCTTTTAGTAGGGGTACTGCGTGCTGGTCTAGCCATACTTTTGAGCAACAGTATGCATTTCCTGACACCTGGCCTGGATGGGGGTAGGTTAGGGGAGTCATATGAATGGAGACCAATCCCAGTGGTTGGTCAGCATAGATATTCGAGGAGGGTGAGAGAGTGTGGCAAGAGGAGCACTTCCCAAAGCAGTACATATCCATTGAGAGCCAGCCTCATTCTACTCAGTAGCCAATTTGTTCATTGTAGCACATACTTATTAAGTACCTAATGTATCCCAGGCATTGTTCTAGTTGCTATGGGTATAGCAGAGAATAAAGCAAAATCCTCGGGGAGATGGCATTCTTGTTTGGGGATAGAGGGAGGCAAACAAACAAAAATGTAGAGTATGGCAGATGGTGAAAAGGGAAATAGGAAAAACATAAGAAGAGTAAGGGGAGAAAGAGTGCTGAAGTGGGGGAGTTGATATTTTATAAAGAGTGCTCAGGGAAGGCCTCCCTGAGGAGGTGGCATTTGAGCAGAAATCTGATGGAGTGGGGAGTGAAGGAAGAGTATTGAAGGCAAAGGCAACCGCAAATAGAAACGCTCTGAAGCAGGAAAGCCTTGATGTCTTAGAGCAGTGCTTTCCAAATGCTAGGGTTGCTGACCCCCACCCCTAGGATTTCTGATCAATAAGTCTGGGGTAAGGCCTGAGAATTTTCATTTCTAACAAGTTCCCTGTGCTGCTGATGCTACTGGTTGGGGGAACCACACACTGAGAACCACTCTTGTAGAGAAATAGCTAGAAGGTCATGGAGATTAGAGAGCTCAAGTAAGTAAGGCCGCTAGGGTGGGGGGATGTAGTAAGTAATGGGTGAGAAAGCTGGCCAGAGTCAGGTCATCTCAAGCTTCACTCTGCCTAGGAATCATCTGGGATCTGTCAAAATGGAGATGCTGATTCTATAGGTCTGGGGTAGAGCCCAAGATGCAGCATTTCTAAGAAAGCTCTTAGGTGGTACAGGTAATATTGGCCTGTGAACCACACTTTGGGAATCAAGACTCCAGGGTCTTTATTTTGTGCTGGATGGGATCTCGCCAACACTAGTCAGTGCTGGAAGATCAGAAGATTGGAATCTTGTGATTGGAAGGCTGGAGGGGAAGAGCGGCATGGCCTGGCTGGCACTGAGAGCTCCGTCAGCTTGTGAAGAGCAGCCTGGGCGGGAGGAGGGCACAAAGGGAAGAGCAGTCAGGAGGCCACTCAAGGACCAGGCCAGAGATGAGATGGCTTAGACCAGGACAGGAAAAGAGAAAAGCGCTGAAAAGTCACAACTTGTGACATAATTTAATGGTAGATCTAACAGCATTTGCTGACAGGTGGTGTGTAAGGTGTGAGAGAAAGATAAGAGCTAGGGAAACTCTGAGGTCAGAGCCTGATCATCTAGAACAGCCTGTAGGTCACGACCCCTTTGGGGGGTCGAACGACCCTTTCACAGGGGTCGCCAAAGACCATCGGAAAACACATATATAATTACATATTGTTTTTGTGATTAATCACTATGCTTTAATTATGTTCAATTTGTAACAATGAAAATACATCCTGCATATCAGATATTTACATTAGGATTCATAACAGTAGCAAAATTACAGTTATGAAGTAGCAACGATAATAATTTTATGGTTGGGGGCCACCACAACATGAGGAACTGTATTAAAGGGTCGTGGCATTAGGAAGGTTGAGAACGACTGATCTAGAAGGAGGAAAATGCATTAAATTAAATGAAAAAGACTGAGAGGAGCAGATCTTGGGGTAAAAAAAAGGTGTATCAGCATCATGGAGCGTGGAGAGAAGATTGTAAAAAGGTGACAATTTTCTCTATGTGATTTCCCCTAACATTTTGTGGTTTCTGGCTATGTGGCCCAATCAATCTTGACAGCTCGTTTGGAATGACTTAAAAAGAGAAAGGACACACATGGGAAAATTTATTCTTGGGACCATAGTTCAGAGGTGGTGGTGGAAATGAAGAGTAAGAAGTGGCTCTAAGTAAAACAAGAATTTTTTACGAGATAAAGAAGGATGAGATTAGGAAACTCTAATTCTAAGCCCAGCCTGTTTTAAAGTAGAGCAGATCCTCTCAATCACTACACCTTGACTACCTGACGTAAGGAGAGATCATTTGTTGCCTGACTCAAGTCTGAGGACCCACTCACCCATAGACCTCACTAGACTATTTCTATCCCCACCCCCCACCTGTTGTCATTCTCAAGCTTTTCCAGTTAAATGTCAACTAGCCTGCCTTTTTTGTAAATGGGACAATGTCAGAGCAATTTAACCGCCAGGTATTTTAGTTTTGTGATCTTGAGATAGCACTGAGCTATGAGTCAGAAGACCTGGAAGTGATCCACATCACTTGCATCTGTGACCTTGGGCAAGTCACCCCAACCCCAAGGAGATGCTGTCCCTTCCTGCCAAATGAAAATAGCACTTTAATTCCCCTACAGGATTTGACAAATAAATGTGCAATAAGATACAGAAGCTTTTGTAAACTATAGGTGTCTATGACCATGATACTTCTATTTCCCAGCAATCCTAAACAAAAACACCTAGAACGTAGAGGCTTCTCCTTAATTTTAGAAGCAGGACCGAAAAAGAAAAAAGAGAGATGATAACTCAGCTTCTTTCTCTCCTGTCAGTAACCAATGAGATTGATAAATTTCTTCAAGAGATATGTTTGTGGACAAGATGTTGAAATAGAAACACCTTTGTACTTTTCTCAAAGTCCTAAGTAAATAGTTGTTAGTGAATATGAGGGCCCAGTGAAGGGCTAGGTTTTTCTGCCTGCTAAATATAACCATGGGCATACTCCTTATATTTTTTTCAGCAAGCAGAATAATCATCTATTTTTCTTTCCTGTTTTTCAAAGTGGATATTGGCAAAGTGAAATATTTATAAATAACAATCTTGTTATGTATTTGTAGATTTACTAAACACATACTATGTCTCCTAGAAAATTTGATCTATCATTCTCTTTCCATATTTCTATTTTACAGAAACTCTGCAAATTCTAATGATGCACCAGTAAGTAATTCTCCCCTCAAAATTACCCAATAATGTATTATGAAGGTAATAGCTTTTCAGTAATTCTATTACAAGATTTGAAATTATTTCAAGGTATTAATAATATGGAAATTGAACCCACCTAAGTTGATTTCTGAAATATCCTTCTGTTCCTCAAACTCTGCATCATGTACTGTTAAAAAGTGGGAGAAAATTTGTTATGGTCTTGCTGAACAAAACAGAGAAAGTCCAGAAACACTCTCTATGCATTTCAATTGGGCCTTACCATTTCCTTTTAAATGATGCTTAATCTGAAAGAAAAGATACAGAAAGTGGATAACATATACTAGAGTTGATATCTCTAAATATCCAGAAGAGCAGAATTTGACTTACCGATACAGCTTCTATGTGAACAAAAAACAAGATGAAGGAGAGAATGCAGGTGGCCCTAGTCCACATCATTGTTGCAAGTGAACAAACGTTAGCAAAGACACCTTGTGATAAATGCCTCTTGGACCTTGTCCTGGCTGTCATATTGAAAACTTTGACCCTTTCATATGCACTATAGCACTAAAAAAATTGTCAATGAAAATGTCATTGACCCTTTGGAGGGCAGATACTAAGTTTAACATAAAAGTTCAAGCTTCAGAGACCAGGGAAAAGTTTGAAAAACTTAATAGTGAGATAAGCATATAAACACCAATAACATTCCTACTCTGCCAGCAATAACTGTGCATAAAATATAACAGGTAAAAGATGAGTTTCATGATAGAAATAAAAACAATCTATAAAATGATTTTAAAGTATATAAATATAATAAAAATGAGTTTGATTTTTATGGAAATGTTATACAGCAATTATCAAAGGACTTAAAAAAGAATTATCCATCTATTCATTTGCAACAGATACATGTATATTTACCTATATAAACATTCATGGATCTGAAGACTCAGAATAATAAAGATGGTCATTATTTTGATATTAGTCTATAAATTCAATGTTATTCCAATAAAAAACTTAACAGGGTCTTGACAAACTGACCAACTTTCTGAAGTTCACGTGAAAGAGTGAACCTCCAAATATAGGTAAGAAAACCCTGAAAAGGCAGAATGAGAAAGGAACTGCTCAAGAATTTTTATAAAGTTATGGTAGAAAGTGTGATATTGTCAAAAAAAGAAGAATGGCCCTAGCCGGTTTGGCTCAGTGGATAGAGCATTGGCCTACAGACTGAAGGGTCCCAGGTTCGATTCTGGTCAAGGGCATATGCCTGGGTTGTGGGCTTGGGGTCCCAATAGTGGGTGTGCAAAAGGCAGTCAATCAGTGATTCTCTCTCATCATTGATGTTTCTATCTCTCTCTCCCTCTCCCTCCCTCTCTGAAATCAATAAAAATATATTTTAGGGAAAAAAAAGAAGAAGAATGGATCCACAGAATGGAATAGAATATCAAAACAGAAGCAAACACATATGGAGATTTCATATATGAGAGAAACAAAAAAAATCAATACAAAAATATGTTTTTTTTAATAATGACTTTGGGACAGTAGCATTTCTCTATGAAAAATAAAATTCTCACATTCACAAAAAATAAATTCTGAGTGGATTAAAGATGTCTTATCAAAATCTAAACTTTTCTTTAAAAAGAAAGTATAGGAAACTGCCTTTAATCTTGAGGTCAGAAAAGATGATTTAAACATGAAAAAAAACACACATAGAAATCATAATAAATTTGACTATATCAAAATTTAAACTTCCTTATGATAAAAGCACAACAACATAGTTAAAACACAAGTCACCGGTGGAAGAAGATATTGATACTGCATATAACTGAAAAAGGGTGAATTAGCCAAAGTACATAGAGGAATTCCTACAAATCAATAAGAAAAAGGGAGAGAGAGAGAAAGAGAGAGAGAAAGAGAGAGGAAGAGAGAGAGAGAGAGAGAGAGAGAGAGAGAGAGAGAGAGAGAGAGAGAGAGAGAGATTACCTAAAAGAACAATGAGGAAAAATATACACACAAAATTCACAAAAGAGAAAACTCAAATGGACAATAAACACATAAAAAGATGTTCAATCTCACAAGCAATCAGAAATATATCAATTGCAATAACAATGAAACATCCTTGACCACAAATTGGCATACATGAAGAAGGCTGATAATTCCAAGTATTGACATGAATGTGAGAAAACAAAAAATCTTATACTGATCGGACAAAATTCAAAACTATCTAATAAATTGAAATGTGCATAGTTTATAAGCTAGAAATTCCACTTCCAGGAATATACCCTAAATAAATTCGCACATAGGTGCATAAAATACCTATGGTATTTTATTGTGTGTGTAATAGTAAAGAACTAGAAAAATATATTTATACTAAAAAAACATTATGGGGTATATTCAGTCATATTGCAGATGAATGTTTAACAACCAGCTCTCTGAGAAAACAGCCCTATAGTGTTTGCGGATTTCCAGGGTGTAAATACTCCCACCAGGGTCCATTGCAAGCTGCCAACACTATGCCACTGAATGCAGCGTTGGGGAGAGATGTGCACACACCGTGGCTCTGCCTGCCCCAGCACACAGTCCTGCATTTCATCACACACACTCCTGCTCTTGCGTGCATGAGGTATAAAAATCTTTCAGTCAGAGCAGTCCTCAAGGTCCAGAGCCTGCACGTCTCCACCTTATTACCGGGGCAGGTGGGCCCCTTGTTATCAGAAGAGCACTTCCTGTCAGAGAAGCATTTGTGGAGGCTGAGAGTGTGGCTTCCTGAGCTAACACAGGAGGCCTGACAGCGGGGGCCAGCTTCCGATGGGCAGAGGAGGGCTGTGCTGACTTCTACTTTATCGCAGCTCTTGTGTGAGGCTGTGGAAGAGGGTGCAGAGCATCATGCCCCAGCCTCTCTAACCACTGGAAGCCGCCAGTGTTTTCCAAATCTGAACTTGCTCGACAGTTAAAATGGCTTAGGTTTCGGTTAGCGAGTACAATCTTTGTGATTTGAAAAAATTGGTGGGGAGAGCCTTGACAAACATCAATTTTAATGAAATAATTTTAAAACACGGAAAAACGCAGGAGAGTTTTATTCCTTGAATGCATTATTTACTTTTTTTCCAAGTTCTGAAATAATCCTGACAGAAATGAATATCTGTTGACTCTGGAGACCAGGAAGTAGGGTTTAAGACTCTGTTGTGTTGTTTCCTAAAGAAAAAGGCAATATTCTTATGTGAGGATTCAGGGGAGTCCTCCCCAAAATGTACCGCTTTGGCAGGTGAGTTATTTGGAGCTGATGGCAATGGAGTCCCTGCAGGCTCATGAGAAACGTTTACCTCTCCCTTAAAGAATGTGAATTAGGGGCCTTGCCCATCTTAGGAGATGATCAGAGGTACCTTTTTTGACCTATCTATATGGCAGGGCAATCAGCTAATTACTGAACATCGGTGCCCTTAGCTCAGGAAGTAGACCTCACTTCCCTTTCTGTCTTGGCACCTCTCATGTCTGTGGGTCTTTGACTTGCTCATGTGTGCAGGGTTCCCATGTGCACGTGTGTAATTAAATTTCACTCTCCTGTTAATCTGTCTCCTGTCGATTTAATTATTGGACCAGCCGAAAGAACCCAGGAGAGTAGAGGAACACTTCCTCCACCCCCACACTGGCTCTCAGGTGTTAGTATCTCAAACAGGCAGTAGCGGGGCTGTTTCATTCTCTCCACTCGCCCTCCCTCCAGATCTGCTTTTATCTTTCCCTCTAAAACAGATCTGAACAATATACTGCAATGATGGCTTTGCAGTCAGATGTCAGGAACTGAAATCCCACCTCTACCATTGGCTGGCTGTGGCATTTTGAACATCTGCTTTCCATGTGTGAAATGAATAGTGGTGCTTACATCATGGGGCTAATGTAAGGCTTCAATGAGATAACCTACGTGCAGCACAGGTCCCAGAAACAAAGGAAGCACTCAGGAAACGTAGCTTTTTAATCCACACCTACTGGCTCCTGGCAAAGGACAGGCAACAAGCACAGGGAGCTCCACAGCACACACATTGCTCAGCGAACCTCTGAACCTCTGCTGCTGGGAGCATAGTTCCTCAGCTGGCACAACTTGGCCCTGGTGATTTTCTTTTGTGATCTTGATTGTTAATTAGTTACCAGTTATTTGCAGTCTTAAGCACTTCTTGTCCCAGGACATCAAGTGTCAAGGGAATAAGACCAGAGCCTTAAATCCTAGGCTTAAAGGGCTTATGGCTTTGCAGATAAAAGGCAGTTATGCATTCTGCAGGGCAAGGTCCACATTTCGTTTTGTTTTCTGTATCTGCCCCAGTGTGGCCATCTTTCATGGTGCGGGGGAGAATCAAACCAGAGGCTTCGTTTTTTTGCCAATCCTCTTTCTACTTACTGAACCCTCCTAGAGCACTAGAAATTGAAGCTAACTCGATTTCCATCTGAGAGCTGCAAGATCACCCTCTGATTTCAGGAAAAGTCTCTAACCTCTGCTAATTACAAGGGTCAATGCCCAAGATGCCAAGTTGGACAAGAGCATCTGGGAGGGAAGACTAAACACATAGGGATTGGTGAGCGAAGGGATGGGATTTTCTCCCAAAGGAAACGTGATTCTAAAGAGCAAGAGGTCTCCACTATCCAATGACAAAACCAACACAGTCGAGTAATGAGAGGAAACAATCCATGGACTGGGGAGTGAAGGACTCTGTCCGAGGGAGTGTGGGTGAGTTTTATAGAGAATTAGAAGCAGCAGCACAGCACAGGACGTGACTAGCTGGAGTGTAGATGTAGTCTTATTTAGGTAGATGAAGGAACAAGGAAATAAGTGCAGTGTCTTGGCGATTGCGAATTGGCTGACTGGGTGTACTTCCTTTCTGACCAAGCAGAGCATTTACAGGATCATAAAACCTCGTTTGCTGATGTGGCACCTTGAGCAGGAGTGGCTCCATCTTGGGCCTAGAAATGTATCTCAACACCACTGTCCCTGAAGTAAGGAAAAAGGCTTAAATTGCAAAAGGGACGCTTAATGGTTAGATATAACGACTTTCCTGGTCATCTAAGGATTCTTGGATCCTAAAAGTGTTTTAAAGAGGGAGACAGTGTTAGTCATAGAGAATAACGCCAAAGCGACAGTTGGGGTTGATGGTGAGGCAAGCATGGGCAGATGAAATTCTTCAGGAAGAAGTGGTATTGGAGAAAGAACGAGTGTTGCTTGTTTTGGGGATTTTTCTTTGTCCTGGGAGAAGTTTTGAGGTCATGTAATGGAAGCAAGATGATGGTAAGTCACACATGTAACTTGATCCAAAGTACAAGAGGCTCAGCCCTCTTAGGAAACAAATGACAATTGTGATCCATTTTCCTTTGAAAACTGCAGAATTGATTTTGCTACAGCTGATTCTTTTACGCAAGTGGCCAGCAGCTCCGTTCAGGGCCAGCTACATTGTCTGACACTTTGACAGGACTGTGAG